GTGAACCAGAGAGAGGGCAGACGGATCTTACGGGGCAAGAGAGAGACTGGGGTAAGACCTAGGGAAGGACAGCGTAACAATATGGCAGACTCCGATCAACATTCCCAGCACAAGGATGAAGGGCGGTGAGAAGGCAAGCGGGGAGTGCGGAGAGTTCTCATGAAAGCCGCTAAAAAAGGGCACCGACCACACTTAATCAAGCAAGTAAAATATTGTGAAAGTGAAGGCGTGCTTGGAGGATATAGGAAATGTGATAGGCCAGGGCAGAACGGGAAATACCATAACTGTTTAGCACACGTTTGGTCAAAGGATTGGCTTTACTTGTCTCTTTGACGAGTTGTAATATAGTGCTACGAATGGTAAAACTCATTGACGATGCCGGCGAAACGTCTGGGAATGTACCACATCCACGGTCCGACTGGAAATAATTATGCATACAGTGGACTCAGGACAAGGTGCGTTTCTATAAGTCTTCCTACCATTATGACCAAGTTGTGAAAACAAGGTTAAACAACTTCTATAGAATGGTTTTGTTAACTGTCTTTATTCGCAGGTACGAAGACCAAGATGGTGTGGCCTTTTGTGTTGTCGCAGTCTCCTTTCGTTGTATAGAAGTTGTCTGACCTTGTTTTCGCAACTTGGTCATATTGGTAGGAAGACTTAGAGCAACGCACCTAGTCCGGAGTCCATTGTCTGCATGATCATTTCCTAAGTTGACCCGTGGACGTGGTACATTCCCAAACGTGCTAAGAATGGCGTACTCGCCTTAAACGAAATAATGAGAATACATGTCATATAACTGATTAACGGTAAGTATCGTAACTGCTTATACAACAAAAATAAGAAATGTAGTCGATTATTATAGCAAAAATATGTTTGCTTCATCGAAAATCCCATCAAAGAAAGATAAGAAAAAAGGCATGGCTTTCATTGATATTCACATATGCTCTGTGACCCAGGGGCATTCGGGGCAATGTAGCTGATTGGTTGACATGTAGAGCTCACATACTGCACTGTCGCGTTTAACCCTCTCTAGGGGTGTTGATAAGACCCAGACTAGGTCGAAATTGCAGTCCAATCTCGATGAGAACAACTTTTGGCAAAGCAAGGCTATATTTAATACAATAGAAACGACAGCTCTACTTATGTCATTGTGGGAAAATTTTACTACCAATCCTTCATCACCTTAACCGAAATAGGGTGAATATATCTCATATGACTGATTGACTGGAGTATTATCGTTGTTAGGGGGACCTTCATTTCGAATGAAAGTGCATGCTAAACGTAAACTTAGAGAAGCCATAGAAATAAGCCCAATAGAAAATACTTCTAATGTAATGAATACTGGTAAGAAGATAAGTAAAAATTATTTGCGCCTAATTAATAGACTGAAGGATAAAGAGGGAGTTGAGCCGCCTGCAAAAATTAGGCGACTTAACTAGTTTTTTCTTTTTCGAATTGAGTATTGTTTTCGTGTCTACCAGTACATCAGTAATATGAGATGTATTCACCCGATTTCGTTTAAGGTCATGAAGGACTGGTAGAAGAAGAATTTTTCCACAATGGTGAGTTGAGCTGACGTTTTCAATGAATTTCACATAGCCTTGCATTCCTAAAAGTTGTTCTCATCCTGTCTCATATTACGGATTTACCGGTAGTCACGAGAAAAATACTTAATTTGAAAAATAAAGTATTGTAGGCTATTGTTATAGCCAATATACGTTTGCTTCATCGACATTTCCACCAAAAGAATATAATATGGCAAAAGGCCTGACCTTCCTTGAAAATTCACATTTGCTGTGTGACACGAAAGGTGCACGTGGCAGTGTAGCCGAGTGGTTATCGTGTCAAGCTCCCATCCTGCACTGTCGCGGTTCGACTCCCACTGAGGGTGTTGATAAGAACGATGCGAGGTCGAAACTGCAGTCCACCCCGAATTAA